TAGGATTTAGGGTCTCGGAGTTTGGGTTTGGGCTTAAGGTTTTACGGTTTAGGATTTAGGGTTCGGGGTTTTTGGGCTGTAGAGTATAGTATAAGAAAGGGTTTACGGGGGGCGGGGGGTTATACAAAGGTAGAACAAGTTTTGAACGGCGTATGCTAGGGGGTATACAGGGTTTAGGAGTTCAGGGCTTTATGGGTTTAGGCTGTGGGAATAAGAGTTCCATGGGGCCCAAAAATCCAGGTTTGGGGTTGGACATTCAAGGCTAGATCCCTGAAAGTTTGGGGGGGTTCCTTTCAAGTAGAACCTACCGGGTTGTTGTTACGGAACTTGAATTAAGTTACTATAATATGGGTATTTCGTACATAGTAGGCTTTCCTTATTATAGTAATCAGCTACAGTCTAAACTCCTAGTATCCCCCTTAATGACCCTTACATAGCAGTCCCCTACATATCCCCTTTAAGGCTATAAGGAAGCTTTGTAGGACGTGTATCGGGGAGCCCGTTTACAGATCCAAGCTTCTGGGTGCAAACCGGAATGCGCTGACAATTTCATTGGCTCAGGGTTTAGGGTTAAATTGGTTCAGGGTTTAGGGTCTACTTGGCCCAGGGTTTAGGGCCCCTATCCCCCAAACTAATGGAGACTCAGTAAATGGAAAAATCGACCTGGCAATGAAAAGGGCACCTCGTTGGGAGAGGGATCCCATATGCGTGCATATAATCTTAAACCCTCAACCCTTGAATATACACACATATATATAAGAGAGGATGGCTGTCCCAACTCACCGGTGCAGGACCCAACAACCTTCATATGAGCCACTGTCTAAACTCCTAGTATCCCCCTAAGTAACCCCCATAATTCTCCCCTATATAGCGCCCGTATAACCGCCGTAAGAGTGTAGACGGTAGCTCATAGGACTATGGAAGGGTCCTCATTGTAGGAGTTAAGCTTGGCACATATCTATTCTTGCGATGCATGGAACTATGCAGGATACCTATGGTTACATAGTTTACGCAAACAAAGATCTAATGAGCACACCTCATATGAATCTAGTGTTCTAATTTGAGGGGATTTGAGCTTTGAAGCCCTCAGACTCCCCAGCATCGTAAGACCCAGTTCGTAACTAGCGCGCAAATCCCAAACTGATCATGGCCCTGCTGAACTTCGGACGTCTCTATATCATGCCAGGAATGGTTCCATGTAAATGCTGACGAATTGTTCAAGGAATCCCTCATAATCAACTTGACCATGGGTGGATACTAAACACTTGTCAACGCCAACCCCATTCGTTCTATTTCCTCAAGACATGAGAGTGGAGACGTGGCTTCAGATCATATCCAACTCACTCCAATCCTTGAACTTGTGGTGCAAGGACTTCGCGAGCGCATGCCGGGTGCAGGTACCTGCCTCACCCTGGTTGCTGAAGTAGGGATCATTGTCTTTGAACTCCGGCTCCTGTAAGGCACTGATGTAAGTTGAATAATGAGAATACCAACAAACGCTCAGGGAGTGATTAGGGCTTGTCTGCAGCGGCTGTTGCGTGGGCTGGCCTGGCCGAATTCCGACCTTCGGCGTGCGTGCCGCTTGTGAGTCTCTTTTGGAGTGCAGCGTTTTTCAACTTAAATGAATCCACGTGGTGATTGTGGAGGTGCTGGTGCTGCTGGTGGTTCTTGTGGTACTGCTGCCACTGATAGTGCTGTTTTCGTGGTCCTAGCAACACGGGTGCCAGAAGTAGCAGCCGCTCTGTAGGAAAAATGGCACCCACTACAAAACTACTTTAAGCAGACTTTTGGACCCCAGCCTCGGACGCATCGCAGGGGCTACTAGCCCAGTCCCCCCAGGGGTCAACCGGAGCATCGCACGGGACGTCCGCTGGGTCATCCAAGGCTGACATGGCCCAGTCCAGCAAGGGCTCTGTGATGCAGGCTGGGGGGCTGAATGAAGTTTGGGCTGCAATTCCTGAAGAGTTCCAGAACACTTGCGGCTGTCAAAGCACTCTCGATGGCACACGCGCTGCCCTAGAAGCCCTCTGTATTTCCACTTGCAGCCTATACATCCTTCTGCTGCAAGTGCCTAATTAGCGCGCTGCGCTGTACTTGCAACGCACCTCACGAGCAAGAAGATCAGTAATTACTGCCGGCTGGTGCATTACAACCTGTAGAAGAGTCTACTGCCATAGCGAACCACTCCGTCTGCAACTTGCAGCTCGGAGAAATGCTCGCGACAAATGGGGCACTTGCGCCGGTGAGCAGGGCCCTTGGACAGCTCCAGCATGCAATTGGAACAGCCGATCACGTGATGACAGGGAAGGATCCTGGCGTTTCGGCCGCGATGAAGGCAAATGTTGCAATGCTCATCGCTTCGCCAGGCAGCGTGCTCCTCCAGAAGAAACATTCTGTCAACCAACACCAGGAGGATGAGGACGCGGACGAGGAGGACGTGGAGGACCCCTAGTACTGATTCTAGCGGTGCTTGTACGCCCATTACAGAAACAGCAGCAGCCGCAGCGGCAGCATCAACAGCGAGAGAAACAACGACAATGAAAACGACGATGAAAACGACGACAACAACCACCACGCCAACGCTGCCGCTGCCGCCGCCGCCACCGCCCCAGCTGCCCACTGCCCGCCGCCACCGCCACGGCCACAGCCACGGCCACCAAGAAGGAGGAAGAGGAGGAGGAGGACGAGGACGACAGAAGAAGACCAAGAAGCAACCACCACGTCAACAATGGCAACAGCCACAATCACAGTTGCAACGGCGGCAACAAAGCAGCCATCACCACTACAGCTAATTATGCGAGTCCTACCACGAGTGCTAGTCGTGCCAGTGGTACTATAGTATGGTTAGTACTAGTATTGGTACTGGTTCTAGTACTAGTACTTGTAGAAGTACTGTAGTAGTAGTAGTAGTAGTAGTAGTAGTAGCAGCAGCAGTAGCAGCGTTGGCGGTAGCACTAACAGTAGTAAGAGCAGTGACTACAAAGCAGCAACAGTAGTACTAGATTGAAATTGACGCTCCTCCACGAGGACGACCGTCACTGAACGAGGGGGGGCCTGAACAAGCTCTTCGGCCTCCGCGGCATTATCCAGCTTGATGATCATCCTCCGGATGGAGTCCTTGGGCTGGCTTTTGGGATGTAGGGTCTTCAAGTCAACTTCGAAACTTTCACACACCTAGCAGAGTTCACCAAATGGAAAAGGCAAATGCATGTTTGCATGTTGGCGGCCCCCTAGAATGAGCCGATCAAACGTCAAGCTGCATAACCCCCAAAAGCGTAACCCTCAACAGCAAAATGCCGCCATGAATCTCCATCTCCCAGTGGGAGGACATGACCTGGGCTGCTGTTAAGGAACGCATTGGTATATAGTGAATAATATGATTTTCTTTTTATAGCAACTTATTTTTAAGTTTCTTAACAGCAAGCCAGTCACGCGATTCCTCGCAGAGTGCGACGTCTGCTTGTTGGATATGACCATCCCCTGCGCGGCAATACCTCAGTTGAGCAATACAATGCTCACATGAGCTATAGTCTAAACTCCTAGTATCCCCCTTAATAACCCCTATAGTAGTCCCCTATATCATCCCTTATATAACCCCTATACTAGTCCCCTATATAATCGCGTATATAACCCCCTTTAAGGAGTTCAGACTATGACGCACAGTTATGTAGGGATTCATTGTAGCCCTAAGGGTCCATGTAGCCAATTTGGGTACTATATAATTGTAGGGTCTATATAGGGATGATATAGGGATAATGGAAAAGAAAATGGAAACTACTATATTATAAGGGTGATGTTTGGGGCTTCGGCTGGTGTACATAAGCTACCCGGCCCCTGAAGCAACAGAAGCATACAACAGCCATGTAACAGAACATCAGGGTCCCCTTACCCAAACCCTCCATCTACCCTCTATATACACCCAATACCCACTATTAGGGACCATATACCCTCCTTTGAGGGTACAAGGAGGGTCCTGGTAAAGAGAGCTCCATGTGGTTCCACGTTGATTTGGGGGGGAAGTAGAAGCTAAGCTATGCTCACCGACTTGTTTCCCAAAATTAGGGTACCCTTCGGGGGGCCCATAATGACGATTAGAATATTTGGGGGTCTATATTGGGGTCCTCGTTTTTATGCTACAATCTAGGGGTACATGAGGAGATCCACTCAATTGCGCGCCAGATCACCTGAGTAGTGTAGTGTTTTGTTGAGAGTTGAACTATGTATATAAGAGTATATTCCGTAAATAAAAATACTATACCCCAAAGGAGGATAGAATCCTGCTCCAAAGTGGGTACCATAATATCCTCAAACAAGGCACTACTCACCTGGGGTCTTGGTGAAGGATAAAAGTGCCAGGGCCGTGCGTTTTTCACGACATGATGCCGTAACTTAGGGGGTCTGCCAAAATTACAGCTACCTTTTCAGAGTCCCCATAACAAGGACTACAAGGTTTAGGGTTTTGGGGGTTTGTGGCCTAGGGTTTAGGCAAGGACTATAGTATACTGAGGTCTACATTGGGGTCCCCCCC